AACGCGCGCGCACCCCCCCCAAGTGGATTGTTGGGTGTGGGACGCGGTGGTGCGCGCTCGCGGCGGTCGTGTCCCAGCCCCCTACCCTGCCTCGGCGCCCGAGACTGACCTCGCATCCGCCCCCACGCCGCCCCCTTAAAGGAAAAAGATAAGATGACATGCGTCGCACTTCCCCGCGGACGCATCGTTACGCGACTGGAGGCGAACGACGGCGGCGAATGACCAACAACAAACTTACAAACGAACGACGACCGACGGACGACGACGACGATGCCGACGAGCGACGACGGACGAACGACGAACAACGAACGGTGACCAGGACGATGTCTGTGGACGAACGACGAACGACGATCGTCGAACGACGCCGCACGTGCGGGCGCATCGCAACGCGACCACCGCGCGGGGGGCGTGCAGGGGGGTCAACCTGCAGGCCGAATCAGGATTCCTCGGGCGCGGACTCGCGCGTCGCATCGCCGGCGGTCTCGGCGCGCGATTTTCGCACGGGGGCCTGCGGTCGCCTCTCAGCAGTCTCCTCGCGCGATTGTGCAGCGCCCGCGCGCGCAGGGAAGGCCTCGCGCGTGGCATCGACAAGAATCTCGAAGCGCAGATTTCTCGCGCTGGGGTCGGCGCTCGGCGACGGACACACTCCTCGCTCGACCGCGCAGCGCGCAGCGCGCACGGACCAGGAGGTTTCGCGCGAGGCGCCGCCAGCGGTCTCAGCACACGGTGTTCGCGCTCGGGTCGGCGCGCGGCTCGAGGCAGTTTTCCCCCGCGCGACTGGGGGGCGCTGGCGCGCACGGGAGAGGACCCGGTCGCGCCGCAGCGGCGCTTGCTTCGGAGCGCAGGTTCCACGCGCGGGGGTCGGCGCGCCGCGCGGCGTCGCGCGGCTTCCTCGCGCGAGCCGGCAGCGCTGCGAGCGCGCGGGGGAAGCCTCGCGCGTCGCATCGGCGGAGGCGCGCGGAGGTCTCTGCAGCTGAGCCGCATCTGCGGGCGCATCGCTGCGCGACCGCCGCGTGGGGGAGGGTGTGGGGGTTTGGAAAACATGGAGCTGCTGATAGATCTGCTTCGTTGGGGTCTGTCAGGGCGCGTCGACTGGGGCGTGGGGCGTTCTGTAGCTTCTCGGTGGCTCCTGTGGGCTCCCTTTTGGCTCTCTGGGGCCTCCCCCTCGGGCTTGCCGGGGCCTGCTGGGCGCTTCCTGGGGTCTCCGAGAGCGTCTGGGAGTGTCTGGAACGAGCCGGTGAACGCTTGGGTGCCTTTTTGGGCGCTCCTGGGGGCGTCTGGGAGCGCCCGGGAGCGCCTGCGAGCGCGTGGGGGCGTCTGGGAGCGCGTGGAGGCCGACTGAGAAGCACCCTGAGCTGCCTGATGGCGCTGGGGCAGAGCGGAGGGGCGCCTGGAGCCGCCGAGGAGCGCCGCGGGCGCTCCGGGCGCTCCGGGAACGTCCGGAAGGGCCCGGGAACACCTCAGGCGTCTGGGACGTCGCGCGGCGTCGGCGGCGTTCTCGGCAAACGATGCTCGCGCGGCGGTCGGCGCGGAGCGCCGAGCGGGATGGCGCCTCGCCGCGCCCAGCGCAAGCCCATCGCTCCGCAGCCGCCACGCGGGGATGGGGGGGCTGCGTGAGAAGACGTCAGCTGCAGCCGCGTCGTTCGCGCTGGGGTCGGCGCGCGGCGCGAGCCGCTTCCGCGCTTGCCTGGATGGCCGTCGCGCGCGCAGGGGAAGACTCGCGCGCTGCCTGGCTGGCACAAGCTCGGGACGCCATGCGTTGCGCTGGGGTCGTCGCGCGGCGCCAGTCCAATTCCGCGCGCGCGCGCTTGGCCGGCGCTCGGGCGCGCGCGGGATAATTCGTCGCGTGCTTGGTATCGCTCGGACGTGTGCATTTTTTCTTCGGCGAGGACCATCGAGGAGCATCTTTGATCATGTGGCCAAAACCATGCACGAAACCGAAAAAAAAAACACAGTGAATGGACGTCCGAGCGATGGCCAGCGTGGTGTTGGCAGAGTTCTGGGCGCGCGATGTTCGCGCGGTGGCCGGCGCGCGGCGCCGAGCGGGAAAAGGCGCTTCGCCGCGCGGCCGGCAGCGCGAGCGCGCGCGGGCGCCCCCGCGGATGCGTCGCAGCGGCCGCGCAAATTCCAGCGATGACTCCGCGATCGCGACGCGGGGCGGGGATCTGCATGAGGAGGCGTCATTTGCAGCCGCGTTTGCAGCCGCGTTGTTCGCGCGGGGGTCGGCGCGCGGCGCCGGGCCACATCCTCGATGGCCTGGAGAGCGCTTGTGCTCGCAGGGGTATAGGCTCGAGCGTCGCGAAGTTTGCCCAGCTTCGGAACCGCCGGGGCCTCCTGGAGCCCCCTGGTGTTACCTGGGGCCTCCTGGGGCTTCCTGGGGCCCCCTGAAGCTTTCTGCGAGCTGGAGCCTCCTGGCGCTTCCTAGTCTTTCCTGGGGCCTCCTGGCGCCTCTTGGTGCCTCCAGGCGCGTCCTGGGGCCTCATGCCTCCTCGGGTTTCTTGCGGCCTCCTGCGGACCTCTGGGGCCTCCCGGAATTCCCTGGTGTTTTATGAGTTTCCTGGGGGGCCTTCTGGGGCCTCCTGGGGCCTCCTGGGGCCTCTTGGGGCTTCCTGGGGCGTCCTTGTGCCTCCTGGGGCTCCTGAGGACTCCTGGGCCTCCTGAGGCCTCCTGCGGTCTCCTGCGGTCTCCTGCGGTCTCCTGGTCTTCCTGGGGCCTCCTGGAACTTCTCGGTGCTTCCTGGTGCCTCCTGCGGCCTCGTGGGGCCTCCCGGTGTTTCATGGTGCCTCCTGGAGCCTCTTTGGGTCCCGTGGCTTTCTCGTGCCTCCTGGGGCTTCCTGCTACCTCCTGGGGAGTCCATGGGCCTCTTGGAGCTTCCTGGTCCATCCTGTATTCTCCTGGTGCCTCCTGGTGCCCCCCCTCTCAGGCCTCCTGAGGCCTCCTGCGGCATCCTGAGCAAGCGATTTACAGCGTGCCCCTCCGCCCCCCTGGGGGTCTCCAACAATTATGTACAGCCACCAGAACTATGTTTTAAATCGTCTGCCCCCCAGCAGTTTTTCTGCCGTCGTCGTCGCCGGCGGCGGCGGCGGGGGCGGCGCCGGCGCCGGCGGCGGCGGCGTCGTCGTCGTCGTTGTCGTCGTCGTCGTCGTCGTCGTCGTCGTCGTCGTCGTCGTCGTCCGTCGTTCTCGTCATCGTCCTCGTTTTCGTCGTCGTCGTCGTCGTCGTCGTCGTCTGCATCGTCGTCGTCCTCGTCGTCGCGTCGTCTTCGTCGTCGTCGTCGCCGCCGTAGACTGACGGCGGGCCCACGCAGCCCCCCACCCAGAAAGCGTCCGCAGAGCATCGTCGTCGTCGTCGTCGTCCTCCTCGTCCTCCGCCTCGTCCTTGCTCGTCCTCGTCCTCGTCCTCATCGTCGTCCTCGTCGTCGTGGTCGTCGTTGTCATTGTCATTGTCGTTGTCGTCGTCGACTACGCTGGGCCAAAGCAGCACCTCCCCCTTAGGCATCCGCTGTGCGTCGTCGTCGCCGCCGTCATCCGTCGTCGTCGTCGTCGTCGTCGTCGTCGTCGTCGTCGTCGTCGTCGTCGTCGTCGTCCTCATCCTCGTCCTCGTCCTCTCGTCGTCGTCGTCGTCGTCGTCGTCGTCGTCGTCGTGGTCGTCGTCGTCGACTACAGCGGGCCTACCCAGCAGCACCCCCCCTACCCATAGGACATCCGCCCGCAGTGCGTCGTAGTCCGTTGTCATCGCCGTCGTCGTCCGTCGTCCTCGCCCTCGCCCTCGCTCTCATCGTCGTGCTCGTCGTCGTTGTCGTCGACTTCGACGTCGACCTGGTCGGCGCAGTCGCCCTCGCGGACGACCGCGTCGACTGGGTGGGGCAGGAGGAGGAGGAGGAGGAGGAGGAGGAGGAGGAGGAGGAGGTCAAAACATCTCGTACTTAGAGGGCACGGTTCGCGAACTTTTGGGGGCCCCGTGGGACCCCCCTGGCCCCCAAAACAGCCCGTGACTGTCCGCCCTCCGACGGCTTGCTCCCCCCCTCCCTTGTTGGGGGGGGGGGGCAACCAGGCCGGCGAAGTGATTGTTCAGCCGCCTGCTCCCATTCTCATGGGCTCCTCCGGAGGCGTCGCGGCGCCTTCTGTGGCCTCCCAGGACGTGCTGGGGCCTCTTGGGGCCTCCTGGGGCCTCCTGGGGCCTCCTGGGGCCTCCTGGGACCTAGTGCTTCCTGGGGCCTCCTTGGGTTTCCTGGGGTGTCCTGGGGCATCCTGGGGGCCTCGCGCCCATGCGCGCCGCGTGCCATCGGGCGCGCGCGCGGGAGCGCCCCCGCTCCGTTTATGGCCAGGCGCCGCGCACCCTCGGGAAGCTCCAAGGATTGATTTTGACCTTGTGGGAAATCCCAGTTTCATTCTAGACTGTAAGTCGGGCCTGTCCCCCTAATTACTGGGGGATTTGCGACGAAAAATTAAAAAAATACCCCCGAAATAGTCCAAAAATAGTCTGGGGATTATTTCTGTTAGTATTTTATGCGTTTTTGATGTATTTTGGGGGTGTGCTTTATTTTTCGTCGAAAATCCCCCTGTAGGGGGACAAGCCCGACCTAACCCTAGACTCCCCAGACCCCCGATTTGCTCCAGAGGGGAAGTCGGCACATTGTGTTGCGCACAAGGGGACTGAAGGCGCATCCCGCCTCCCGCACCGCTCGGAGGCGGGCGAGATAACTCTCGCCTGCCGACGTGGTGCATCTGGCTCCCCGCTGAACGCTTCGGCCACCAGTTGCTCGCTACCTGGCGAGTGTCAGGGCCGGCGCTCGTTCCGGAGAGAGAGAGAGAGAGACAGAGATAGAGAAGAGACACAGAGAGAGAGTGTGTGTGAGAGAGAGAGAGAGCGAGGGAACGAGGTGAGGAGCAGGAAGACTCGCAGGAGCCGGGACAGGACGAGGGGTGCGGCGGAGGGCATGCGGGAGGGACGAGCAGGGGGAGCCCGGCGGGGAAGAGGCCCTCGGCCCTCCCCGGCAGGAGACCCGCCTGGGCACCAGCTGCGGCAACGGGGCGAGCAGCTTCCTGAGGACCTTCGACACCCTGAGCCGTGGGGCCAGCGGTGGCCCTGCCCGCGCCGTCGGCCTTCGGTTGGTAGGTCTTAGTCGGGCTTGGTCCCTCTACAGGAGGAATATTCAAAAATGATCAAAAAAATAGTATGGGGACTATTTGTTGGGTATTGTTTGGCCATTTTGGAGTATCTTTCTGGGGTATTTTTAATTTTTCCTCGAAAATCCCCCTGTAGGGGGACGCCCAACTTAATGGTAGGTCAAGCCCCGGGGAGTGTGCTTGACGAGGGGGGTGGAGGAGTCAGCGTGCGAGTCCCGAGACGCAGTCCACATGCAAGAGGGCCCGAGACAGTCGCGGTATGCGTGGTGGCTGTAAGTTGTTGCTTGATGTTTTATGATTGCAATTCGGCGTTTTCCGGGGAGTGCGTGACTATTCCGAAAGCAGCAACCCCAACCCTCCGATCGTATCGCGGTGGTTTCCTGAATCGCTAGTGAGATCGATAACCAGACTCGGGCGGTGAGATCGAAGAGAACCAGAGACGCCAAACGGTTCACCACCACCTGGCACGGGGTCAATAGTGAGATCGATTGAGCGAAACCGATGATAACATCGATCAAATGAGATCGGGAATCGGGAATATGATGTCGATTGGCCGACTTCGATAGGGACATCGACCGCTCAGCCACTGGACCGATGGGAGATCGACAGATGGAGATCGAAGGGGCGACTCAACACCACCGTCGTTGTTGTCATCACTGCGCTCATCACCACCACGATCATTACACTCACCACCGCACTCGCCACCACGATCACAACAAGCATCATCACAGTCATCACCACACTCGTCACCACCACACTCATCATCGCACTCCTCATCGCCACATTCATAGTGAAAGGGGTACGGGGCCAAATCATTTCCACTGTCGTCATCGCCATCATGCCTTTTCGCCAGCATCGCCAGCGTGTCAGCCCAATGCCAGCATGCATTGTCGCAAGCTCCGTCGTCTTGCATCGTCGCCAACTCGTGAGCGCATCACCAGCATCGCCATCATCACAATCATCGCAGGTGTCCTCTGTTGGTTACTTCACCCTCCCAATCTCCTTATCACCCGAAGGGTGGTCGTATAGGTATCTGTACCGAGTCCACTATCAACACATCCATCTGTTTCCTTTCTATAGATTGGCCACAGCATCTACCTTGCTGTAGACGGGACAGCCACGGGACAGCAACGGGCAACCACGGGCCAGTCGCAGGCCAGCAACGTGACAACCACGGGGCAACCGCGAGACAACCGTACTGGACAACTGCGGGACAACCACGAGTCAGCCACGGCTTAACCGCGGGAAAGCCACGGGACAACCACGGGAGTACCATGGGACACTGCTGCACACTCCGCGAAGGCTGGGTACAGAGTCATTCTTGCAGGACCTGGACCTAAGTTGGGCGAGGAACTCGCAATGGTTCGCCTCGCCGGCACTCGCGCCACTCACGACACGAGCCGAAGGCAAAACCGATTTCCCGTGTGGGGGCCTCCGTTTCATTGTGGTCCCATTCCCCCTAGACCATGGCAATCGGTGGTACGCTATGACATGGGTAGTTGCGCAATGTGATACAGATGCGTTGCGCCATAACGCATCGCACTTCATCGCGTTGCGGCCCATGGCATCGCGGTACGACGCAAATGTATGCGCTCAGCTGCTCAACGCTCCCGTCCGGGGGCGCGCCGTGTTTCTGGGTCACGGGCCCTGGGGCACGCCCTCGATCCCCGACCCCCGACCGCAAAACATTGAAGCAGCGACGATTTCGGGCATGACTTGTGCCCATGTCCACTGAATGCTTGGAGTGTCGGGCTCCCTTCCCCAGAAGCCCGAGGCGCACTGGACATGGATGAAACTTTGGCCCCTGAAGGCTCGATTCTTATCCACGTCCAGTGTGCCTCGGCCTCGCGGCGCTCCTTCCAACAAAGTCGCAGACGCACCGGCTCTTGTTGGCTGTGCTCGGCATGACGCCGTTTGTGAATCTGAAGAGTTATGGTTTTCAGGTCAGAAGTCTAGATTTGTCCATATGCTCCTAAGTTCTGTTTTGGATGTGGATGAACACATTGGATGTGGATGAGCATATTGCCCTCAATGACGGCAGCGGTGCCGGCGGCGGCGGCGGCCGCCCCGCCCCGGCCCGCTCGAGGCGCCGACCTGAGCCGCAGCGGGCCCCCCGAAGGCCCGGCCGAGCAGCGCCGCCGCGGCCAGGCGGGGCTGCAGCGCTGTCGCCGTCGCCGCCGCCGCCGCCATCGCCGCCGCCGCCGTCGGCTGCACGTTTGGGACCTTGCTCCAGACAGGTGGCGGCCCACCACCTCCTCCTCCTGTTCCTCCTCCTCTCTTCTCTCTCCTCCTCTCTCCTTCCTCCTCCTCCTCCTCCTCCTCCTCCTTCCTCCTCCTCCTCCTCCTCCCCCTCCTCCTCCTCCTCCTCCTCTCCTCCCCTCCTCCTCCTCCTCCTCCTCCTCCTCCTCCGCCTCCTCCTCCGCCTCCTCCCCTCCTCCCCTCCCCCTCCCCCTCCCCCTCCCCTCCCCCTCCCCCTCCCCCTCCTCCTCCCTCTCCCCCTCCTCCTCCCTCTCCCCATCCCTGTCCCCCTCCCCAGACATGCCGCGGACGCCGCGGCACGTCCACGGGAGCCCAGCGCCGCGGGGCGGGGGTGCCCGAAAGGCATGGCAGCGGCGGCGACGAGAGCGGCGGCGCCCACGGCGAGGGCCACGGTGACGGTGAGGACGACGGCCGCCACGACGACGACGACGAACGGCGACGGCGCCGACGATCCGAGCGTCTCCGCGCGAGGCCGCGGCGGGCTGCGGCCTCGGGCGGAGCCGGAGCCTGGCGAGCCTCAGCGGCGCGCGCCGCCGCCGCCGCGCCGCCGCCGCCGACCTCCGCCGAGCTGCTCGGCGGCGCGCCGAGGGGCAGAGGAGGAGAGAGGGTCTCGGCATCGCTCGGACGTGTGCATTTTTTCTCGGCGAGGACCATCGGATACAGTCTGGGCCCTGAAGAAGGAACCCTTTTGGTTGGGGAGGGGCTCCGCGTTCCTTAAGTGTTTCACAGCTTGCCTCGGGTTTTCCTTATGTTTTCGATCGGAAGTCGAAGTTTAACTTATGGAAAAAAGGGGCCTCGTTCCTTATTTAGGGTTCCTGAGGTCAACGCATCGAGCAAGAAAAACGCACAAAACCGGAACACGCACAGGGAATGGACGTCCGAGCGACGGCAGGGGGTATCTTCACCGCTGCCCTTGCCTTGTCTCCGCCTTTTTGGGATCCTTTGGGGGCCCTCGTCTCCTCTGCTGGACTCGCCTTGCATTCCTGGTCAGAACGCGCCCGGGGAGAGGCCCGGAGAGCCGCGGTACGGGCGCGTCCTGGTTCCTCCAGAGGGGGGTCCCTGTGCCAATGCATGGGGGCCTTGTGTACCCTCGAAACTCCGTGTTTGGGGTGCACTAGCCTGCGTCTGGTATTCAGTAACAAAGCGCCGACCTGGATTTGATTCGCCTCGATTCCCGTATTCTCAGAAGGTTCGGAAGTCCCCCGGCCTTCCGAGGAGTTTTCTAAGCCTTCCCCGAGCACACAGAACACTCCTCAGAAGGCGCGAGGGCTTCCGAGGAGTCCCGCCGCCTTCTGCGAAGACTTCTCCTTCTGATTTCCCCCCCTCGCTCGCCGCCAATTCAGGGAGGCGGACGACGAGGTGGAGTGGCGTCCTCTTGGCGAACTCGCGCGTCGGCGGTGGCAGCGAGGTTGAGGTCCGTGCCCTCCGCTGCTGGTGCAACGTCGATCTACCTCCCCACTAGCTTCACCAGGTGGAGGGCTGCCGCCTGGTGGCGGAGCTCTTCCCCAACAGGCTATCCCACCGCGCTCCCTGGATGGATTGTTGGGCTCGAGAGGCGGTCAAACAGGACAGTTCCGTCAAGCGATGTTCCTCACTCCCTGGCCGTGGGGGCCGTGGAGTTGCTGTTATCTACGAGCGCGGTGTTGAGGGAGCGCGGCACGCATCGGTGATGTCGCTCTGTCCGAGAGAGAGAGAGAGCAAAAGTGAGAAAGAGGGATATATATAGAGAGAGAGAGAGAGAAAGAGAAAGAGAGAGAGAGAGAGAGAAAGAGAGAGAGACAGAGAGACGGAATTTGAGATCCTGAAAGGTAGAAAGAGAAAGGAAGACATATACAGAGAGAGAGAGAGAGAGACAGGAAAAAGAACAAAGAGAGAGAGAGAGAGACTTACTCGACCAACAAAAAAACAAGAGCCCGACCGCGACACGGCCCTGTGGCGGGGCTCTTCCCATTCGGGCCGTCGCCGAGGCACCCCGCGGAAACCCCGAGCCCCCGCCCTGGGGGCGGTTAGTTCGGCGGCGCGCGCAAGACGGGCTGGCACATCTGTGGGGCTGTGGTCCTTCTCGGGCGGGCCGGGGACTCGGACGCATCGTTCCAGGGGGAATCGGTTCGGACCGTTCCTGGAGTGGCCGCGGCGCCTGACGCATCCTCCCGAACCGCCAGGTGTTTTGGGGGCGCCGGTGTATCCCGGTCCGACTTTTTCTCGCGGTCCTGACTTCGTCTTATCTCGCGCGCTCCCCTGGGGGACCCGCCCATCGGCCTCAGCATTCCTCCTCGAGGGGTTGGCGGCAGCATGCGTTCCCCCAGGGACAGGGGGGGCGAGGAGCACAGCGGCCCCCACTGGAAGGTCGGCGATCGGGGGGCGAGCGGGCGAGCGAGGCGCCTGATTGGGTAAGGCGCGCGAGGCCGTGTACAGTCGAGACTGATAAGTAGGTCGGCCCTGCCAAGTCGGGGGTGCCCTGGAGTGTCCTGCGTCTCGCGACCCACGCCCTCTGACATTCCTGTGGCAGTCTGGCCCTCGGGAGGCTCTGGGGGTCTCTCGCGTGTCCTCTCCAATCAGCCTCGACCGTAGCCTCAGCAGCCTTCGAGGGGGGGCAGGCGGGGGGGGTCCTTACTCCCCCCCTACCAGGGAGTCTTCATCCAGAGCCTCCGCTTCCCTCTGCAGAAGCTTCCCTGCCTGTTTCGGAGGCTCTCCCGCGCCGCCCGCGTTGGCGCGTCGCCGAGGGGTGGGGAGGCAGGGGCCAGAGGGGACGATGCCCCCCCCCCGATTCTCAGAACAACATCAAAGGGTGCAGCTTTGCCACTGCAGCGATCGATTCGCATCCGTGTGCAGCCTGCTCGTGTTCGCACAGCACTCGTTCCGGGCTCGAGCGCGCCCAGACGGGAGGGACATCGCAGGCCTGCGCGGTTGCAGTTGCGCAGGGCAGCCATGCCGGCCAACTCTGAGAAGGAGCACCTGTCCATCGTGATTTGCGGCCACGTCGACAGTGGCAAGAGCACCACCACGGGCCGCCTGATCTTCGAGCTGGGGGGCCTGCCCGAGCGTGAGCTCGAGAAGCTGAAGGCGGAGGCCGAGCGCCTGGGCAAGGGTTCCTTCGCCTTCGCGTTCTACATGGACCGCCAGAAGGAGGAGCGCGAACGCGGCGTGACCATCGCCTGTACCACCAAGGAGTTCTACACCGAGAAGTGGCACTACACGGTCATCGATGCCCCGGGCCATCGCGATTTCATCAAGAACATGATCACAGGCGCTTCCCAGGCTGACGTTGCGCTTATCATGGTTCCAGCCGACGGTAATTTCACGACCGCCATCGCCAAGGGCAACCACAAGGACTTGTATACCAAACTTCTTAATATCGAATTCGATCAGGGGTGTTCGTGGGCGTTGTTCCAATGAGGTGCGCTTGCACTGATGACTTTGCCCGTTGTTATAGTTGTCGATATAAGTAAGCATCATACGTGCATCGGTCGACTCGGTACGCATCTGACACGACTGGGGTAGGCAAGATGTGGGGCGCACGATCGAACCGAGATACAATTCTAGGCAGATCTTCGTATATGGTGGTGTTTGCAAGGTTATTGGTGCGTATAGGCTTTCAGCGAAGTTTTTCAGCGAAGCGGTCAATAATGGCGAGTTCTCGGTGCACCATTCTCACGGTGGATGTTGTTGTTTTGTGCGGTTGTCCCGTGGATGTCTCACTCACAGTAGCACCGGAAAGGTTCCGCAGATTGCATGTTTTTGCGGGTGGTCTTAACATTAGTTGTTTCGCATTGAGCGTGGAATCGGAAGTTGATCCTGTAATGTGTATTTAGCGTGTTTCGGCGGAATGGCCATTTGAGGGCTGGCGAGGGCTGATAAGGATAGCGTGTAGCTGGATTGGTAATCAATCTAGCTGCCTCCGGCATTTCTGGCCAGCGCAAAGCTCTGGGTTGCAAACGCTCGAGAAGGTGAGGGGGCCTGCTGGAGGCCTCTTGGGGCAGAAGGCTCGAATTCTGGGTTCGTGTTCCCACACTTAGGCCCTTTTTGGGGCCGTCTTGGGGCCCTCTTGGGCAGCCGTGGGCGCCTCTTGGGCTGTCTTCTTGGAGCCCTCTTGGGCCGTCTTTGGAGCTCTCCTTGGAGCCTCTTGAGCCGTCTCGGGGGAGTATAGGAGGCCTCTTGGGGGCCTTTTTCGGCTCTATTGGGGCCTCTTGAGCTCTCCTTGGGGCGGAAGGCTTGAATTGTCGGTGCGTGTTCACCCTCTAGGGCCCTCCTTGGGGCCGTCTTGGGGTCCTCTTGGGCATTCTTGGGCGCCTCTTGCTTGAGGCCGTCGTGGAGCCCTCTTGAGCCGTCGTGGGGCCCTCTTGGGAGCCTCTTGGGCCGTCTTCGGGCAGTCCTGGTGGCCTCTTGGGTCGTCTTTGGACGTCGGAAGCTCGAAAGGCTCTTGGGACTCTCTTTGGGCGTCTCGACGGCCTCGTGGTGGGCCGTCTTGAAGCCATCTTGGCCCGTTTTGAGGCCAACATGGCCAGTCTTGGAGCGATATTACCCCGTCTCGGAGGCATCTGGGCCTCCGAATCTGTTGTATTGCGAAGGCCTTACGGCCGGTGCCGCCGACCCTGGGACGAGGAGAAGTTTGGGGGGGATGGGCAGCGGGAGGAGGGGAAGGAAGAGCAGTAGGAGCAGTAGGAGGAGGAGGAGGAGGAGGAGGAGGACGAGGAGGAGGACGCGAAGGAGGACGCCTTTCGCGCCTTGTCGCCCTCGTGCGCCGCAGCTGTGGCTCGTGCTTAATTGGGGTTCTTTTTTTGGGACCGGGACCGCCAGGGGGGGTGGCATTCTGACCTGGGAGTTGCCCCGGGTCACCCTCGTGACCCCTCCCCCCCATGACCCCCCCCAAGCGGGGAAGGGATCAAAAGGGAAGGGGTTTCCTTTCGATTCAAGTCTGATGTTGCTGTTTCATTTCGCTTTGGCTGACGCGCTTCAGTGAGGCTAGGGGAAAAGAAGGGAACGTCGACGGCGACGATGTCGAACGGAAGAGCGTCTTCCAAACGCCGACAGGGTCGGCGGATTTTGTGAAGGAGTACCGCCTCGGGAAGAGTGGGCGATGCACGCGCCTGGACGCTGGCAGCGGGGGCGCGCTTAGAGAATTACAGCAACCCGACCATACAGACATTTGCACTCTTCCACGCCTCAACGTGCACAAGGCACGGTGGCGGATTCGGTGGATTGCCCTGAAGTGCACGGTAGAAGATTCCGCACGTATGTTTCCCTCTTTATCCTCCCTTTCTTTTGAAGGATTGCCATCCGTAATTGGCCCGTCTGGAGGCCAAGATTTCTGCGGAAGCCAACTTTTAGAAATGAGCCGTTGGAGGCCCCGGGAGGCTAGCAAGGACCAGCAAGGTACCATCTACCCATACATTTACACAGACACAAACATATGCATAACCATAACCGTACACCCATACACATACACATCCACTTTTGTATAGGCATATACATATACCTATACATATGCATAAGTGTACATATGCATGTGCATACACATGTACATATATTCCTATACATATACACATACATATACATATACATATAAATATGAATTCACATTCACATGTACCTTTACACTCACACTTACAGGTGCATCTACATCTACATATACATCTACATAGGCATACACATACACATTTACATACACACATGCATCTACACATACCTATATACATTCATGCATGCATGCATCTATACATGTATGCATGCATACATACATACATACATCCATCCATATATATATAAACATGTATATATATACATACATACACCTATATGTATATTCATATATGTTTACATCGATGATTGAATGCAAGTGGGTTTGCGTGTATACGTATCTAGATGGTATGCTACATGTTTACCTAGTGGCTTTTGGCGTCACCCGCCGCCGTGCATTGGTCGTGGAATAAGTCCTCTTAGAGGCCCATCTGTGAGGTTGTGGGGAGGCATTTTGGTAGTCTTTCCGAGGCCTCTTGGAGGCCTTTTGGTGGCTTCTTGGCGGCCTCTTGGGGCCCGATGACCTCCTCGGGGCACTGAAATGAGGACGACTCTGCACAAGCATTCAATTCCTGGCCGGGCCGGGCGAAATTTGGAAATTCGGCGGAGAGGCGTTGCGAATTTTGTTGCACGCAGCTGGAACTGACCCCGCCGCCCAGGCATCGTGGCGCCGAAATCGCAGAGCGGAATTTGATCGGAAAACAATGGGATGGGCCTGGATTGTCCTGGAGAATTTCGTTGCGGATTTCGAAGTGCATTTCGTGCGGATTTTCTTCGGCCAGGAATGAAGATTACAAAAAGTCCATGTGACATTCACTTAGTTTTTCGCTCGCCGTTTCGGGGTTCTGCATTGACAGAATCCACGCGGAAATCCATTGCAGCACGTCTGCAAGGTCGGTGCAATGACAGGCATATTCTTAGATGCATGGCCGCTTCGGTGCCGGGCGGCTCTGGGGAAGCCAGACACATCTAGCTGATTCGCGAGCCATCTTTTTCTTATGCCCCCTTCCCTCGGACACTACAAGGAGTGGCGGAGTGGTTCGCAGGAGGCTCTGGGATGTTGGGGAGGTCCACTGGTGAGGAGGTGGCGAGGAGTGATGCCCTCGTGCAGTCTTCACGTTCCCCTTCAGCCTGACCCATCGGCCGTTTGCTGCGAGTTCAGCTTGAATTCGTTCTCGATGTAACCATCGCTATGTCTCTCCATAACATATGTATGCGTCTCTTTTATAATCGTGTTTCCTCTGTCCCTTGATTTACTTCTTCACGCCGCTTTCCCATCATCCAACCTGCATACTCATTCAAAACTAGCCAGACTCACACTTCGACTCACCCATGTCCAGTCACCCATGCTCAGAGTCAGCCTGAATTAATTACTCTGACTTCCTACTCGTTCAGATCCACTCAAACTCAGATTCACTCATGATTAGCCTCCTTCATGCCCAGACTTAACCGGAATCACTCAGACTTACTCATCAGTCAGACCCGGATATGCCCAGACCCATTCATATTCACATCCATTTGCACCCGGCGCCCATCATCCGACCGATTCATACAGAGATTGCCTTTTCCCAGATTCTCTCAGTCACACTGGGATTCAGAGTCGTTCGTTACGCAGACCCCCTCTGCGATGTAGCAGGCGTCGCAATCAGGCTGGCCAGGGGTGGCTGACCAGGGAGTATGACACAGCCCTGTTCTCTCCCAATGTGGTGGGGCCTCTCAGGTAGAACCCCAATTTTGGGTGAGTCGGCGTGTCTTTTGTTCAGAGCTCCGTGATCATTGCGCTTTTGGCAACCGATCGTGTTCGGATCTCCCACTGCGGAGGCAGGAGGGGGTATGACACAGGCGCACTCGCATCCAGATTGATGAGACCTCCACAGGTAACTACAGTCCAAAACCCTAATAAGGCTCGGGGTACCCTTGCGTCCTTGCTCTTCCTTGAACTTGCGTCCTTGAGGTTTTTGTCGTCCGCCGCACCAGAATTCCCAACTTCGGCTTCCAAGGGTCTTGCGTCCTTGCCGCGCGTCCTTATTAGGTTTTTTGACTATATGCCGCCCGTTTGGGGGAGGGATGTGTCGACGCGTCTGTGTTTCAGGTTTCTTTCCTGTCTCATCTTTCCGTACCATCGTATTCCTCCCAGTGTTCTCTTCTTGAGCGCAGGAGGCCACAAGAGATTCCAGGATCCCCCAGTGCGCTCAAGGAAAAGGGCTGCAGGAAACTCCGTAAGGTTCACGAGGCGCCCTACTAGGAGGCCGAGCGTTGCCTTGGGAGGCACCAGGAGTTTCCAGGGGGGCCAGGGAGCTGGCCCCAGGAGGCCGAATTTCGCCACAGAGCGTCCTCACTCAATTTAATATTACTCACACTCAGATCCATTCCCATTCAGTTCCATTCGTCCTGGGACTCGTTCGCAACCTGGCACTCACATTCAGACTCACTTCATACTCGCGCACGCCCACTCATTCGTACTTATGTCCGTTCATACTTCGCAAATCATGCCCATGCATTCTCGGCCTGTGACCAACCAAACGCATACCCAGTCATACACTTGGAGTCACGCGTACCCAGGCGCTCATACAAACTCGTTCACACTTAAGCACACGTATGCTGTCATCCTCCACATTCAGACCCTGTTATACGGTTGAAAGAACAAGTTTGCACCCTTTCGGCTGCGCGACAATGGATGATGCGACCCCCCCGCCCCCGACCTTAACATTGAGAGCGGCGCGCGCGCGCTGAAATGGGATGCACCTTTCTCCCCAACCATCCTGTGGTGTTGGGTCCTTGTTTTGAACCCCGCGTTCCCTCCTTGCTTCTGT